ATGGTAAATCACAGGCTGAACATGGAGCACTCACAAGCCACGGAGGGAAGCTGCTCACTGTCTGCTGCTGTCTTCTCCCAGAGCCGCTCTCACCTTCTTGCCCCCTCTACACCACAGCATTCACTGTCATCCTAAAGCAACACTCCCACCTGCCTCCATACACTCCTTTGATATGATAAGAAAAGGGAAGAAGGGCAAGGAAAGCCAGAAGAGGGCCTGGTTTCAGGCATCTGCTGCAGAGAGGAAGGATGCTTACAAGCACTGGCTATGAAAAGAGCTGAGAAATTGCTATTTGGAATGCATGGGTCAGATGGGCAGCCTGGGAGAACACACCTGGGGACAGAGTGTGATCACAGAATAGTTAGGGCTGGAAAGGACCTTAAGATCATCTAGCTCCAACCCCCCTGCCATGGGCAGGGACACCTCCCACACAACTGAGCTCAGTGAAGGCAAAACCTCTGGTGGCAGCAACTCTGTCCCAGCAGCAGTGTTAGAAATGTCCCCCAGTTTTCTAGACCAGTGTTTCCAGATCTGATCAGACACAGAGCTACAAATACAGGAGGATTTAGATATAGCTTTAGGAAGGACTAAAGTGCAGAGATCTTGGGGGGGGGGACCCACTCAGCCAGCGGATGCCAGCCCAGCCTGGGCCATGTGGAAGAGCAGAGTCCCACTGCAGGAGTGGGGTCCTCCATGGGCTCCTCTCAAGCAGAGGTGCCAGTTGCTCTCTCTCATTCCCACTTCCCTTGGGCTCCAGCAGAGCACACACTCCCCCAACCACATCTGATGTCAGAAGCAGCTCACTCGCTTTGGCACAAAGGTTTTTCACTGCAGCTCAAATGTTCTAAAGTATTGCAGAGAAATGCAGGCGATGGGAGTGCTCATGCAGGGAGATCACCCTGCCAGCAGCATGTGAGCAATGGGTCAAACCTGGCACGCTCCTTTAGAACTCAGATGTAGATATGTAGAAGATCTTGATTATGGGGTGAAAAGGGTGGTTTTTATGCATCACTCCCCCCTACCATTTCTTTATGACAGGGAACCCATGGATAAAACAAGGGCACATTAGGGTTGCATGTTACACCTTGAAAATTAAGAGAGAAAAAGGTGTATGGTTCTTAGGCTGCTTTTCATTTCTCCAAGATCTTTGCAAACCAAAGGTGCGAAGCTCTGAACTCACAATTATGGGCCACAGGAAAAAGAAAATCAGCCTGAACACTTCCAAGCAGTGAGGTGAGCACCATTCCTGATGAGAGGTCACTCACCAAGCACCAGGAAGGACAGTCAAGTGCCCTGACAGATCACAGCGGTGCAGTTCCTCTGGTCATCTGAACACTTCTCCTGGACAACCAGGATGTCACCTTCCTGACAGGGACTATCTGTATAATCCACAGCATTTTAAAGGTAACCTAAGTAGCCATTTCTCCTGCACCTGCAGTGCGAAGCAAGCACCATCTAGACTGTGAACACCTTTCTGATCACTAACGACAGGCTGCAAACACAGCACGTGCCCTGGGAGAGGGGAGAGCCGCGTTCTGCAGTGAAGGGAGCAGAGGGCACAGGTAGCTGCAGATCACACCACACCATAAAACCACCCCTGTGCCTGTGAGAAGCCTTTGACACAAATCCCAGCAGAGCTGCAGGTCCAGTTCTGCAGCCTCGGCTGGTGCAGAGCTGCAGCCAGCCCTGCAGGACAGCACAATGCTGCTGGAACACCCCTGAGTGCATCTGCTCGCACCCCAACCAAAGCCCTGCTCTAAAATGCACCTCCTCTTGTACAGATCACCTCCTGGCAACTGCACAGGCAGCACTGCAGGCTCCTGTTGGCACGTCCCAACCACAGAGTGAAATGGAGCAGCTCCTCCTCAGCAAAAGTTAGCTAGCAGGATGCAAAAGGACAAGGGGGGGGGGGGTCCAAAGTTCAGGTTCAGTATATTATGGGAACAATTAAGAACAGTTTGCATCAAGAATTCCACTCTCCTCGTGCCCAACACTGGACAACTGGGTTTCCTTCTGGCACACAGCCACATCTTGGAAGTGCTAAAGTCAGATGATTGCAGGAAGAAGCTTGAGGAGAAGCCAAGCCCTAAAGACAGGCAAGAGCAATGCAGCAATGCTGCCAGGGTTACATTCAGCCTTCTGCTGGAGAAGATGCCCAGGACCACAGAAATCTGTTGCTCCTTATCCATGTGGCAATCCATGCAATGCCCACTGTGTCCCTGCAGCTTCATGGGGTAAATGCACAATCCACACTCAACACAGAGGGAAACCACATCCAGGGTTTAGTAACCCATGAAGACAAGCAGAGATACACTGATGCCATTCACAGCCATGAATGGACTCCAGGAGAAAGCTCTGGATCGCTCCTGCATGGCCTGCAGCCAGCACCAGCCTGCAGGATGCTCTTCCCAGTCATGAAACCTAAAGCAAAAGCCATCTCATCCCTCCTGGCAGCAGCAGAGCCTTTCCCCAGAGCCTGGCAAGAACCGGGCGATTCGGGAAGCCAAGATAAAAGTACAAGATCACTGATTCGTGGTTTTCCCCTTTCAGGTTTCTCTCAGTTAGAGATGAAACAAGAGTGTCCCTTTCGCCAGGCACTGCTTCCCTCTTACACCCACAGTGTCATGTACTGAGCACTGGGTGCTTCAGTAACAGGCACAAGGCACCTCTGCCTTCAGCACCCGCTGAGAACACAGCTGCCAAGTCACCACTGACCTGTGGTCACATCAAAGACAAAACACACAAACTGCTGCTAAAAGCTACCAGTTATGGGCTCAAAAGGAATAAATAAGCTTTTTTTTTTCTTCATCAGCTCCAATGTTTTGCTCTCCTGGATCCTGCAAGAACCCCACATAATGAGGAGAAAGTGTTCTGGGCTGCACCCCCAGAGCGTGAGCAGCAGCTCAGGGAGGGGATCCTGCCCCTCTGTTGTACTCTGGGGAGACCCCCCCTGCAGCCCTGCTCCAGCTCTGGGGCAGCAGCACAAGAGGGATGTGGAGCTGTTGGAGCGAGGCCAGAGGAGGCCATGGAGATGCTGCGAGGGCTGGAGCAGCTCTGCTCTGGAGCCAGGCTGAGAGAGCTGGGCTGGGTCAGCCTGGAGAAGAGAAGGCTCCTGAAGGGGAGACCTTAGAGCAGCTCCAGTGCCTAAAGGGGCTGCAGGAAACCTGGAGGGAGCTTGGGACAAGGGCCTGTAGGGACAGGACAAGGGGAATGGCTTGAACCTGCCCGAGGGGAGACTGAGCTGAGCTCTTAGGCAGAAGCTCTTCCCTGTGAGGGTGCTGAGGCGCTGGCACAGGGTGCCCAGAGAAGCTGTGGCTGCCCCATCCCTGGCAGTGTTCAAGGCCAGGTTGGACACAGGGGCTTGGAGCAAGCTGCTCCAGTGGAAGGGGTCCCTGCCCATGACAGGGTTTGGAATTGGATGGGCTTTAAGGTCCCTTCCAACCCAAACCAGGCTGGGATTCTGTGCCTTTGAGAAGAAAACAGGGAACCTGATTCTACACAGAGAGCTGTCAAATGCACTGAGTAACCTGATGAAATAGAAGTATTTCTTCTTTGCTCCTGTTTCTGCTGTGATAGCAGGTGCTGTTTGCAAACCACAGGGTGACCATCCCAGTGTAGGGCCTTCCAGTCAGCAGTCACCCCACGGAAAGGGGAATACCCGTGTAATCCAGCTTGGGAAATAAAGCCCGTGTGAAGCAGTTTTCCTCCAGAGATGCTGACACTGAGCTCGGTGTCAGGGTGCCACACACCAGCATCCCCTCGGATGGCACCGGCCCGTGACACTAAACTGAGGTGAACCCGAGTGCAACGCCCTTGCCCGCAGCACCACACGCATGCAGGAGCCAGCACCCACCCGGGGAGCCCCGGGATGCGGGAGGACGGGGGACCCAGCATGCAGGGCACGGGGGGCTCAGGGATGGGGGTGCCCGGGCTGGTCCCGTTCCCAGCGCACAGACAGGGGCTGCCGGGCACGGAGCGATGGGAGGCGATGGGGAGCCCCTGGCGCGGGGCCGGGCTGGCTCAGAGCGGGTCCCCCCCCGTGATTCCCGCGCTGCCGGCGGGGGCCGCCCGCTGCGGTCCCGCCCCGCCACCGCCACCGCCGCCGCCGCGCGGGGCCGCTCGCGCCGCCCGCCTGCCCCGGGGCCGCGCCGGTGCGCGCCGCCGCCGCCCGTGGGGAGGGGCGGGCGGGGAGCGGGGCAGGGCCCCGCGCTGCCGGGAGCACCCCCGAGCCGCGCCGTGCCAGGCCTCAAGGGGCGGCCCCACCACCGCCAGTCGCCCGGCGGAGGCAGCGCGGGGAGGCGGCGGCGCGGAGCGGGCGGCGGGTGGGCAAAGAAGAGGCGCATCCCCGGTGCCGGCCCGAAGCGGCCCGGCTGGGCCCGGCGGCCCCGTTACCTTCCAGCGCCTCGAAGATCGCCTGCGCCATCTTGGAGCCGCGGCGGCCGCGACCCGCCAGACGGAGCGGGCACCGGGAGCGCCGCCGCCGCAAGGGGGCGCCCTCCGTCCGTGACAGGGACCGGGGATGACGGGAGGGGCCGGGTGTGTGTGGGGCGGCCCCGGTGCTCAGGCGGCGGCACCGCGGCGGGAGCGGCCGCGCCCGGCGGGACTACTCGCGTTCAACCTGTGCCGCGGCGGAGCGGGGCCGCAGGCAGCACCTCGGGGGGACGCGCGGGACGAACCCCGCTGCCGCACCCATCCCGCTCCCGGCGCGGCTCCTGCGAGGCCCCGCGGAGCTGCCGCCGGTCCGCTCCCGTGGCGCGGGAGGGCCGCGGCCCCATGACCCGCACCGGCCCGCGCCGCTGCCCTCAGCGGGGCGGGTGGGCGGGACGCTTCGCGCATTCCCTATTGGCTGCTTGACAGACACTCTCCACCAATGAGCGGTTAATGCTACCCGCTTATTGCCTAAATGAGCTGATGGGCAGCCCAAGCAGCCTATGGGCGCGGTGGGCGGGGCCTCGCTCTCGGAAGCGTGAGCGCTGTGACACGGCCGCCGGCTTTGGCGGGAGGGGCGTCATGGCCGGCGATGGGGACCGGCTCCGCGCCTTGCTCCGCGCCGCCAGCGCGCTCCTGCAGCAGCGCCGGTACCGCGCCGCGCTCGCCGTCATCAAGGGCTTCCGTAACGGCGCCGTGTGAGTGCGGCGGGGCGGGCACGGGGGAGGTTCCGGGACCGCTGGGGGGATGTCTCGGTTCCCTCAGGGCCCCGAAGGCCGCTTTGCGCTCTCCTCGGCTGTCAGGAGGCCGGTGCTGTTGTAGTGGAGGTTCGGGAGAAGCCTTTCCTTCTCCCTTCCGCATAAGTGGGGGTTCAAATGGTTTTGGGGTTCCCTTCGGGCCCGATTTTCCCGAATGTGCTCTGTGTACGCCCGTGGCTACACAGGGCTTGGGGTTGGGAGTGCTGCTGCGTCTGGGCTGTCTCACAAGTGACAGGTAGCTGCTTAGGTAGAGTCTTTTGGGTGTCAGTGGAATAGAAATACAATCATAGCATTGCGGTCTGGTCAGTGAGAAACTGAACATGAACATGTGCTGAGCTGCACCCCCAGAGCGTGAGCAGCAGCTCGAGGGGATCCTGCCCCTCTGCTGTGCATCCTACTGAGCTTCAACCTCTCTGCTGCACTCTAGGGAGAACCCCCCTTGCAGTCGTGATCCAGCTCTGGGGCAGCAGCACAAGAGGGACGTGGAGCTGTTGGGAGTGAACCCAGAGGAGGCCATGGAGATGCTGCGAGGGCTGGAGCAGCTCTGCTCTGGAGCCAGGCTGAGAGAGCTGGGCTGGGGCAGCCTGGAGAAGAGAAGGCTCCTGAAGGGGAGACCTTAGAGCAGCTCCAGTGCCTAAAGGGGCTGCAGGAAACCTGGAGAGGGGCTTGGGACAAGGGCCTGTAGGGACAGGCCAAGGGGAATGGCTTGAACCTGCCTGAGGGGAGACTGAGCTGAGCTCTTAGGCAGAAGCTCTTCCCTGTGAGGGTGCTGAGGCGCTGGCACAGGGTGCCCAGAGAAGCTGTGGCTGCCCCATCCCTGGCAGTGTTCAAGGCCAGGTTGGACACAGGGGCTTGGAGCAAGCTGCTCTAGTGGAAGGGGTCCCTGCCTGTGGCAGGGGTTGGAGCTGGATGAGCTTTAAGGTCCTTTCAACCCAAACCAGTCTGGGGTTCTATAATGCAATAATGCTGATATATCTATTTGCTTTTGCAGTTATGGAGCAAAAGTTCGTGCCCCACATGCCCTGGTGATGACTTTCCTGTTCAAGAGTGGAAGGTATGACCCTAGTTCTGTGGGTTTGTATTACTGCTTAGAATGCTTTCATCCAAACTTTCAATTTTTCATGCTGCATAAGGGCTTAAACAGCAGAAAGATGCATGAGCCATGTTCTTAGTCTGTTGTTCTGACAGCTAAGCAGGACAGCTTGTATACACACCAAATACATGTAGTGAGCCACTAATAGAATGGTTGAAGAGAACCAGTGGACAGAAGAGAAATTAGCAGATGCAGACAGCAGCGATCTGCTGTCAGCTCCAATAAGGGAAGCCAAACCATAGCAGTGCACGTTTTCATTTTCCCCACTTATGCCAGAGGTTTGCACCTAGGCAGTAATCAAAGAAAAGGCTGCTTGACTAATTGGACAGAAGCACCGCCACAGTCTAAGAAGAGCTGTATTGTGATGAATTCCTATGAATTTGCTGTATTTCTAGTCATAGAATTAGACAGCAGCACAGTCACAGTGTAAGTCGGCTGTACTCTGATGAATGAGCCAAAGGTGAAGAGGTTTCTGCTCCCTCACCTGATGTTCTGTGGGGTGCTCACGCTGTCAGTACCTGTCAGAGGAGCAGTGTCCAGGCTGGGTGGCAGTGTCCAGGCTGGGGGGCCGCAATGGTCCTGCCTTTGTGCCCTCCTAATTGTCTGTTTCTTTCCTTCAGTTTAAGAGAGAAATTGAAGGCGATTGCTCAGGCTACGTACACTCATTCCCGGAACTTGGCATATTTTGTGTTCACCTACAAGGGGCTGATGGCGTTGCAGTCCCGACTGCAGGGGAAGAAAATCCCATTTCATTCTTTCTTTGCAGCCTGCATTGGGGGTTGGCTCGTGTTTGGTGACAACAACCCCATCAACAGCCAGGTAAATGTGTTGGTTTGAAGTTTCCTTGCCCAAAAGCCCCAACAGATGGATGGTCACGTGCCAGGAAGTGATTGCTGTAGCCTGCCATGTGTCTGGGGGTTCTTACAGTGTAGAGTTACTCTTTTACCATGTTCCACTTCACACAGGTTCTTGTTTTAGCCGCTTTAGACTCCAGTTGTAGAGGTGGTTGTGTGCCTCTGTGGAAGGTGTGTGCAATGTAAGCACTGAAAGCCCAGCTTTACCTCTAGAGCTGCACTTGTGAGCCTAGGAAGGCAGACAGGCGCACAATCCAGAGCTGTTGGTTTCTCCCCCAGCCCCATCATCTAGGCTGTGGTAACCGTGTGTGCTCCTGCTCTGCCTGCTCACAGGCTAAACCCTTTTTTGTGAATGCTGCAGGTGCAGAGCACAATCACTGAGCTACACTAACCGAGTTAAACAAAAGCTGCTCAGGGAATGTTCAGCTGAAAGCGGGTTGTTAGCACAGTCAAAGGTTTATCAGTCAGTAAAACACACAGATGTAGCTTAATCAAGTGTTTTACTTATGCAATGCCCTGCAGGAGGATCAGTCAGGCCGGGGTTTAGGATGTATCCACACTTCTGAGTTTGTCCCTGCCTGAGAGGTGACCATAGCTGCTCTGTGACTGTTACATCAGCAGCAGTATTTGAGGTAACAAGTGATCAAGGACAGAAGTTGTGCAACTGCAAAGATGCATGAAGTGTAACTTGTCTATTACTAAATTAGAGCCCAGGCAGAGAAGTAGGATTTGGAGAACAGAGACATCTCCTGCTAGAAAGATTGCTTGATACGTGAACCTACAACGCGTTTGCCTTTAAGCTGGGTAAACTGTTTCCACCCCTCTTACAGCCTTATCGCTTCAACATCACTCAGCCTGGCCAGTATACCTGCTCAGGGTGCTTACCTCATGCCGTTTGGGTTTTCTCTCATGCAGATCATCATGTACCTGCTGTCCCGGATCCTGTTTGGCCTGTCTCGGCTGGCAGTGGAAAAGGGCTATATCCCACAGCCAAAGCAGGATCCCTTTCCGCTCGTTGCTGCTCTGATCTGGGGCACAGTTCTGTGGCTCTTCGAGTATCACCGGCACACCCTGCAGCCCTCCCTGCAGTCCTCCATGACCTACCTGTACGAGGATAGCAACACATGGCACGACATCTCTGACTTCCTCATTTATAACAAAAGGACAGATAAGTAGGTGGGTCATTGTAAAACATCTCTGAATGGGATGGCACCTTCTGGCAGCTAAGGGAAAAGGTTCTTCTGTTGCTCCTGACTGGTGATTTAGCTATATTAACAGCTACTAAGCAGAGTTGCCTCTTGTATCCTGGCCAAAGTGTTCTGATCAGTCTTTTCTTGGCTCTGTTTAGAGTGAGTAAATACCCTCCAGAAACTTGGTGCAGTCTTTTTTAAGAGAGGCCTTATTTTCCCCACAAGAATAGCTTTGGGGCTTTTTTAAGAGACTAAATATACTTACAAAATATCAGCCTGACAGTATGTCTAACCATGAAAAACCGTTCTGGGATCATCTGACTGCTCACTGTGCACCCCATAGTGGGAGGGGGGCAGAGACCTGCTCACATCTCAAAGCAAAACTATCATTTCTTGATTTCTGTGGCTGACTGGCAGTCTTGTTTAAGCTAATCCAAGGACAGTGTGTGCTCCTTAAGAGGGTTTCTCTGCAGTTTGCGCTCAGGGAGACATTAAGATGTTGGAGGAATAAAACTGTTAACGTTGTCTGATAGGAGCCTGGGAAGTGGGGCTTGGAAAGATTACTTTTGTTTGGTTTCTTTCATGCACTTGGACTGAATCTGTCCCTCTGCAAATGCACTAATACCCTGTTGTTATTTGAAACTTACTGGTAAAGTTTTTAAGAGCTTCTTGAACTAAATACCAAGAACAGTTACACAACTCGGGCTGCTCTGGAAACAGGCTGGAGTCCATTGCACACCTCAGATAGCACCCTGGTGCTTCACATGTATGAGTGAGCAACACTTGCAACAGCACTTTTCTTTAGGTGAAAGATAAGCACATGGGTTTCTTGTAGGGCCAGAATCTGCCCTCCCCAGCAGTGGCACATGTTAGTGGTAATCAAACTTGAATGTACCTGTAGTTTGTTGAGTCCACGAGTGAATAGATGAGTGAATCTTCCTTGTCAAAGTACCCTGCTGAGCCCCAGGAGTAGCGCAGCACACCCGGGGCTGGAACAGGAGATCAACCAGATAGCTGGGAAAGGACAAAAGCTATTAAAATGAATAAACTAAAACTGTTAGTGTAGAATGTTGCTCTGCCATATAACACTAAACCATTCACTTAATAATGTACATTAAAATAATTCCTAATGCACTGGGGGTTTGTGGTGGTATTTGTAAGAGAGCATTAAGTTCCCTGTGCCAACCATTCCCTTGGTTCAGCCAGGACTGGTTTGTTTGCTCTCTCCCTACCCATCTGCTTTTCCATCCTGACCTGGCCATGGCATTTCATCATCCCACTGATGCTGTTCATCATCTTTTGCAGTCTCTGTACCCTCCAGGCTGTAGCAATTGGTTGTGTTCAATGGTGTGACTGAAATGATACCTTTTAAGTTCAGGTAGCTTCTGAGTAGAAACTTTTCCATTTCCTCTTAAGTCATTTTTCCTTGTCCTAAGCTCTATTACATCGATTCTGAGTGCTGCTTTGCTCTCTGTTTTTTCCACTCTCTGTGTCAGGGAGAGAGAGGTTGAAACATTCCTCTTCCCATTGCCTGGTGCTATGATGTTTGGGATTGAATTGCATCCTGAGTGGCTTGGCGGGAGTAGAAATAGAATCTTCTTGAACTGAATCTAACCCTGAGTCCGAACTACATCCACTGTGAGATCTCACAGTGTAGAGATGGAAGCTACTTTGTGCTCATTAAGTGCTTGGTGCCCAAAAGACAAAACAGTGCTTTGCCATAACAACTGTCTGGGGCATCTTCAACTTTTAACTTCACCTGCTTTTACACCCTGTACTGAACACTTGAACACTCATCAGTATTTAAGCTAGACCCCAGGAAAGCAATAGAAAGCTATAGACATTAGGAACGGGGTTTGTTTCATTGTAGTTGAATATTTTGCTTGGTGTAGATAAGCTTAAAGATTCAAGTCCAGAAAAAATACTGAAAGTGAAAGTCTGATTTCTTTATAAACATAGAATCATGGAATGGGTTGGGTTGGAAGGGACCTTAAAGCTCATCCAGCTCCAACCCCTGCCACAGGCAGGGACACCTTCCACTAGAGCAGCTTGCTCCAAGCCCCTGTGTCCAGCCTGGCCTTGAACACTGCCAGGGATGGGGCAACCACAGCTTCTCTGGGCACCCTGTGCCAGCGCCTCAGCACCCTCACAGGGAAGAACTTCTGCCTTATATACAGCCTAACATCCTATCTTTCTTTGCACCACTCTGGGTGTCCGAAGCAGCACAGTGCAGCACTCTCTTTTTATGTCAGAAGCCTCAATATTGTCCCAAATAAGAATGTCAGTGTTCTAATATTGCTGATTCCTATAAGCTGTGGTGCGATTTCAAAGAACTCTTCCATGATCTGACACCTATGGCTTGAGAATTTCTCCCTACAACTATTTAGGCTCCCAAATCCTTCAGCGTGTGTAATTACTGTAGCAGGAGATGGTGCAGGCTGGTTGTGTGAGTGTGTGGCTGGAAGGAGGGTTTAACCTCTCTAATGTACAGCTGTCATTCCTGCCTCTGAAAAAGCTTGTGAGTCCCTTAGAGGCAAAATCATTTTCCCCTGCTAAGTAGTTCTACCACTGCAACCATCTGGCTGCTTGGGAAGCACTTTTCTGGCCATGGGAAGGGCAAGTGGCTTGTCCTGTTCTTTTTACACTATGTAGTATCTCTGTCCTCTCTAGAAGGTACAAACAAACCCATAGCAAGTTTCTAGTATCCACCTGGCAGCAGTGGCTGTCAGTTGTCCATGTTCAAAACCCTCTTTTTCTCTTGGGGAATCTATCCCTCAATCTCACTCTCAAAGCAAATTGTGCCTGAGCCTCCAACCATCTGTACTTGTGCTTCAGGAAGCAGCTGCTGGCCCTGGAAGACAAACTGCAGCTCATCCCAGAGCAGGTCCATGGAGCAGCAGAGCCATTAGCAGCGCCTTTGTGGACGGTTGGTTTTCCTGCTGTGCTGGGGCAGGACGTTAAGCCGCAAGTCACTTCATTCCCCAGGGAAGTAATTGGAACAGTTCTTTAATGGCATTAGTCTGCATTGCTGGTTCTGGGACCAGATAGCTGGGGATGAACCCCTTATGCTAGCAAGGTGTTGGAACAATGCGGGTGTGTAGTAAGGAAGTGAACTAGAAGTAATTTGTCTGAGACAGACTTTTCGGATACAGAAGTTCCACTGCCTGCCCTCCCCCCAGTGCTTTGTGTGGGGCTTGGAGTCCCCTGGTTGTGTCCCTTTTTTAGCAGCACTAAAACCAAAAGAAGAAAGAGACAGTTGGAAGCCACCTGCAAATCAGCCAAATGCTGCAGAACCACAATGTGCCATTTTCTGCCCCCAGCCCTGTTCGGGCTGGAATGTTAAGACGCAATAGGTTTGTTTGTCTGCATCAACTTTATTCTCCCTTGTTATTTCTTGACACCTGACAGTGCAATGCTCAGAGCCTCTAAAGAGGAGCAAAGCATCTCAATACTTGTCTAAAATGAAGATTACTGGATAAAACTGAAGTGTTGATTTTAAACTGATGCTTCTCTTTTGGATTTGCATCCTCTCTTTGAGGCAGTTTTAAAGGTTAATGAATCAAACTGATCAAAAGTTCTCCAAGTGAATAGCAGAGTGACTGCACTGAGCTATTAATCATTTATTTGCTGAAGGAACAAAGCAGCTCAGGGTTATTTACTGTGGCTGCATGCTGCCCCAGCGTTCCCACTGTGCTTCCCTGCTCTTTGGAGGACAGCTTGTGTGCCAGGGCTGGCTGTCAGGACCCTTTCCAGGACAATTGCATTATTTAACAAAGGGGAAAATGAAATGGGGGGAAGAGGGGGCTGACATGTGGTTTAGCTCAGGTCTGTGGGATTCTGTTTGATCCTTTCAGTGAAGGGGAAGGAAATTTGTGAAGGAAAAACCTCTGCTTGTGCAATGAGTGCCACAGGGAAGCACTCACGGAGGTATGAACCTGTGGTCGCAGGGTGTCTGTGTCTGGGTAATCACCAGCCCTGCTCAGAGCAGCCAGGGTGGTGAGGCTGCAGAATACTTTCATATCCCTTTTTGCCCTGGTAGAGTAGTTCAAGCTGGGCTTTAAACCCAGCTGGGTTGGGGTAGGAGTGTGGGATGATCTCCAGCTGCTGAAGCAGAGTGAACCAGGCACCCATGGGGAGCCCCAGTGACTGCAGAGTGTCCCCGTGGCACACTGAGCTCTGCAGCCAGCCAGGTGCTGTCACACTTGGCTGGTGGTGCTGGGGTGACCAGAACCCCCTGCAGATCTCACACAGGAGGAGCTGCTGTGACTCCAACCCATTTTCACTGTGTCAGCACAAACACGACCTTGGCTCCCACCCGAGCCGAGTGCTGTTTCCTATTTGTCAGCCTGTGTTTGTCTTCCTGGATCATGGCAACCTGAGCAGAGTGTGTCCCATTTTCTGATGCTGGTTTTGAAATGAGGCGATAAGGGAGGAGAGGAAATGAGGTGTAATGCTCCCCAGCCTAATGCCTGCTGGCCACTGTTAGTGCTTTAGGGGTGCTAATCTTGACTCTTCAACCTGTGTGTTCCGACCCGATTGTTGGAGGAGGGAACTTCTTCTCTTTTGTCTATCTCATTTCCTCATGAGACTGGTGATGAGGAGTAGAAAACAAATGAAATGGTCTGTAACACAAGCACTGTCCCCTCTGCTTTTGGTATATGTTTTATGGCATGATTGCCATGTAATCCAGGCCTTGATTTTCTGACAGCATAGAATAAAACAATAAACTCAGGTAATTTGTAATGACACTGTTCAGGATGCTTGTAGCAATGGTTCAGGTTTTGGGTTTAAAACATGCTGAAGAGGAGGCAGGGGTCTGTTGAAGTAGCTCTGTCCATGATGAATTCACTCCTTGGGCAGGCAGTGGAGTATAGCAACCTGCCACACTCATGCAGACATAATCACTTCTGTATAATCCCTTCAATACTGTGCTTTCTAGAATAAGAATAACAATAAAACCCTCATTTTTTGTCTTTTTTTTTTGCTGTCATCATCATTAAGCTAAGATACATGAAGTAATGCTTAGTTATTACATGCTACTACTCCTATATGTAGAGAAGCCACACACAGAGTGCATTGTTGGCATCAGTTGTGCTCTCTTGTTGTTAGTGCGTAGGCAGCAGCCAGTGCTACTCTGCCCACAGCATCAGCTCTACCTGCTGCACCACTGGTAGCTGGAGAAGGATCTGAGCTGCAGGGACACACGGGGGGACTGTCATCCCTGGGGCTTGGGGAGACACCACAGACTGGTTTGGGTTGGAAGGGACCTTAAAGATCATCCAGGTTCAACCAACCCCCTGCCACAGGAGAAGAGCTGGGGGGATGTTGTGCTTCCCTTCACATGACACAATCCATGTGGGAACTGCTGAAAGCAGGACCACACTGTAGGTGACAAGGACGGTAAAGGTGCTCCTGGGACACCTCTATGCTGAGGTTAACTGAGCACAGGGAGGTGTGTGCATCCTCCAGCTCACCTCCTGCCTGCTCCCACTGCCAGGAGATGATTTAACAGTGTAGACACCAGCTCTGGCTCTATCTGCAGCCCTGGTCTGAGCTTTTCCTTCAGCACAGGGCCCAGCTGATACCCCTTGGCAAGAGCCAGTCCCGACTGCAAGGCAGCCAAAACCCACCCAGACTCAGTGCCTGCTGCGGGGTGAATTTATCTGGGGTACAAAGCTATGAACAGCTTCCTGACCCGCTCTGTGAGCAAGTGGGGCCGTCGGGACAGGAGTTTATCTCTGTGCAGCACCCGCCAGACAGCTCATCCTGGGAGCACGTCCCCTCAGCAGGGCTGGTGAGGCCGGGAGGAGGCTGCAGCTGTGCAGGAGCCGGGATTCGTCTGCCTTCCCTCATATGCATGCAAGGAAAGCCCCGGCCCTTCCCTCTCGCACCAACATTTGCCTTTCATTTGTCCTGGCGCCTGCTCTCCTTCCGCGCCAGCACCAACAGCCCCGCTTGGAGGAGAGGAGAGAGGGAGGCAGAGCTCCGCCTGCTCCCACTGAATACCCCCCCGCATGAACTGGGCTGGGGGGACCCGGCCTTTGTGAGCCCGAAGGAGCAGCTGGTGCAGCAGCTGTGTCCCAAAGCCTGCAGCATCCCGGGAAGCGCCTGGCTGAGGCTCCCCCGGGAACAGGGAGCACACCACGGCCATCCCAGGGCTGCCTTTCCCCCTTCCCAGATGGAGCAACATGAACTGTGTGCTCACACCTGGTCTAACTGTTGCTTGTTCTTCACAGTGATGATGGAATTGCAGTGCAAGGGCACCGGAGAGCGGCCCTGGGATAACAGCAGGACCAGGTGTTAATTAACTGTGTTCATTTGCTTTAAGCATGGCAGTGTTTCTGTTTGCTCTTTGTGGATGAAGAAATGAAGCACAGGGAGGTGAAGTGATTGAGTGATTGGTCATGGACATGCAGCATGTTACTGGTGTTACTAGTGCCTAAAGGGGCTGACAGGAAACCTGGAGAGGGGTTTTGGACAAGGGCCTGTGGGGACAGGCCAAGGGGAATGGCTTGAACCTGCCAGAGGGGAGGCTGATATGAGCTCTTAGGCAGAAGCTCTTCCCTGTGAGGGTGCTGAGGCGCTGGCACAGGGTGCCCAGAGAAGCTGTGGCTGCCCCATCCCTGGCAGTGTTCAAGGCCAGGTTGGACACAGGGGCTTGGAGCAAGCTGTTCTAGTGGAAGGTGTCCCTGCCCCTGGCAGGGGTTGGAACTGGATGAGCTTTAAGGTCCCTTCCCAAGGACTCTATGAATTCACAGCATTGCTCCGTGCTGGCTGCCCTGCAGGGGAATTGCAGCCACTGCCAAAGTATCCAGCATAAAATCCTTTAAAGCCTGAAACCTGTTTGGCCAGTGCAGGGGCACAGCGTGTCAGGATCTGCTCCACGGCACAGAAGTTAACTCATCGCTTCAGATGCCTCCTGCATCCCACGCACTGGTGGGAAAACCACCCATCTCCTGCATCCCAGACACGTTGGGATCAGCAGCAGGGTGGAGGCCACCACAGGCCCACAGCCAGGCCCGGGGGCAGTCAGGGCTCCCCCTGGGACTTGTAAGGCAGCCCATGGGGGGCACAGGGAGGTTTTGGGTGGCTGGCTGTGAGCTACAACATCTCTGTGCCCTGGGAAAGGCCTCATCTTTAAATGGGGGGGGGGGTTATGAATATATATTATTGTTATTCCTTTATATTTTGCCTCCTCATGCAGCAGGAGGGTTATCAGCATGCCGCACACTGCCGGTGGGAGCTGCCTGTGCTGTGTCTCATGGGTGGATGAACTATCATCTCCCTCAGCATGGTGGCTGCCATCCCCTCTGCCCCAGCCTCACCCCTGGCCTCACCGTCCCGCCACCAGAGATAGCTGCTGACACGGTCAAGTGCGGATTTTGCCTCTAGCCCTGCAAGGGGTTATCACCTAGTGCTGAGGAAACTGAGAGCCACAGCTGTTGGGTGTTTGGAAGCTGAAAATGCCGTGAATCATCCCTACAACAGAGCAGATTGGAGCATTCCCAATCTTTGTGTGTGAGCCAGACCCTTTGAGCAATCCCAGGTCCCAGAACCTCATCCAGTCTGAGGATGAGTTTGGAAGAGGGGAGATGGGCCAGCACTGAACTCATCTCTTCACCCCAGAATACTTTAATACAGTATCCCTTCCATCCCAGTGCAAGATTCCCAACACCCCTCACGGAGCATCCTGCTCCAAGGCAGATTCCATGGGTGATGTGAACTTGGCTCATGGGTGTGTGCCAGTGCCTTCCTCCTCCAATGCAGAACACCGAGCAAGACCTGGATGTTGGGATAAGGATGCTTTGGAGATGGAATTCCCGGGGAGGTACAGGACAGTGGGGCGGTGAAAGGGGGGGAACAGCGGCAGATGCCGCCGTTCCCCCCTTTCACCGCCCCACTGTCCCCGCTCCGCACCCCCGCGGCGCCGCTGATTGGCCGCCTGTCCACCCTCAACCAATAAGCATGCGGCACCGCCCGTCACTGACCAATGAAATGGCTCCTCCGCTCCCCCTACCGCGGTTCCCGGTGTTGGTGACAGCCAATGAGGCGGGTGGCGGGGAGGCTCGCGCCGCTTTCGCGGCAAAAAGGATTTGGCGCGCAAAGAAGGCGCGCCGGAGCCGGTTGTACCGAACAATACGGGCGGTGGGAGCGGTTCTCGCTGCCCTGTCATGGGCCGTGACCCTACAAGCGCCTTCCCCGCCCCGCCGCCCGTCGCCCCGGTGGCCATGTGAGCCATGGCGGCGGCGGGCGGCGGCGCGGCGGGGCTGGCGGCGCTGCTGGGCAGCTCCTCCCCGCACCTCCTCATCGTCTCCGCCGCCGCTGACGATCCCGCGGGTGGCGGCGGAGGACACCCCGATACCGACCAGGTCTTGCTCTTCGCTACACCGCAACCCGCCCAGCCTGGAGCCGCGCCTCGCCGGCCCGCGCTGGGCCGCCCGCCGGTAACCACCGGGACGGGGATCGGGATGGGAAAAGGGGCTGCGGAGACCGGGACTCTGCGGGCTACGGCGGGGCTGTGCTGGGTACTGGGCCGTGCTATGCCCCGAGCCGTGAGATATTGGGCCGTGTCGGGTCGGGCTGCGTGCTGGGCCGTGCCACGCCGGGCAGTGCTGCTCCCTGCTCCGCACCTTGCTGTGCCGTGCCCTCTACCGTGCCCTGGGCCGTGCCACGCAGCGCACCTGTCCAGGGCAGCCGCTCCGGAAGTCGCCTCGCTGGCCCGGGCTCTGTCCCTGCCTGCTTTGGGCGCTCCCCGCAGCGTGGCGGGGCCGCGGCCCCACTGTGTGTGTGTCAGCGGTGGAGCCGCTCCTCTGAGCCCGCTTCTACCGGCAGCGGGGCTCGGCACCCCCAGGGAGGGGTTCCTGGGGGGTGGTGGCTGCGCCCCCAATGAGCCCCATCGCTTGCAGGTGAAGAGGAAGCTGAACTTGGAGACGGATCACCAGTACATAGCGGAGAGCCTGCCAGTGGGCCGGGGCAAGCCCAGGAACCCCATCAGAGGTACCGGCTCTGCTCCCTCTGACCCCTGCAGCCAACCCAGGTGGACCCTCCATCATCTCCCCCTCCCCGAGCCCTGGTACCTTGGTGTCACAGCAGAGCTTGTGATCACAGCTTAGCACAAGTGCCAAAGCCTGTGCTGTGTCCTGCAGCATCCTTCCCATGGAGGATGTGGGGAGCTTAGCCCATTGCTCAGGGAAAGCAGATGGTTTCAGGGTGTTGGTTCCGGTCCATGGGGCACCTGTGAGCGTGGGGGATGTTTTGGGTTTCCCTTCTGGCTAAACCACGCTTATCCTCGGTGGCTGGCAGGGGCAAAGTCTCCTGGGGAGAAGTCCCGCTACGAAACCTCGCTGAACCTCACCACCAAGCGCTTCCTGGAGCTGCTGAGCCAGTCCCCTGACGGCGTGGTGGACCTCAACTGGGCGGCCGAGGTCCTGAAGGTGCAGAAGAGGCGTATCTACGACATCACCAACGTCCTGGAGGGCATCCAGCTCATCACCAAGAAGTCCAAGAACAACATCCAGTGGCTGTATGGGCTTGTGGGGCTGTGCCTGGTTGTCCCTTGGGATGGGGGAGCTGCCTGGGCCAGGCTTGGGGTGGAGAGAGCCTTCCTTGGGGTTCAAGTGGTGGCTGAGGAGCCACTTCATGTGGTCTGGGTGTGGGCTGTGCTCCACTGCAGGTGGCTCCTGAGCAGCATCAGTACTCCTGTGCTGGCTGTCAGTCCCCCTCCGGCTCCTTGTGCCAGTCTGGGGAGTAGAGGCTGTGTCCAGGCTCAGGGGAGGGACCCCAGGGCTGTGCCCTATAGAGAACCCCCTGCGAGGCTGATTCCCTGGGTGTGGGATGGGGTCAGTCACGGTGCGGGGCAGAGGGAGGTGTAGGTTTGGGTGCTGATGCCTGTGGTGCTCCGCAGGGGCAGCCAGGCCGCGGTGGGCGCCCCGGGCCGGCACCGGCGGCTGGAGCAGGAGCTGCGGGAGCTGCAGGCGGCGGAGCGGCAGCTGGACGAGCTCATCCAGACGTGCTCAGTGCAGCTGCGCCTGCTCACTGAGGACCCCGCCAACCAGCAATATCCTTTGTGCGGGATGGGATGGGATGGGATGGGATGGGATGGGATGGGATGGGATGGGGCTGGTGGGGAGGGGATGCGGCTGGTTCACAGCATGGTTCATAGCACCCCGTGTCTGCTCCTTGACCCACCACACCGCAGCCTATGTGACCTGCCAGGACCTCCGCAGCATTGTGGACCCCTCGGAGCAAATGGTGATGGTTATCAAAGCCCCCGCAGAGACCCAGCTGCAGGTTTCAGACCCAGCAGAGGTGAGCTGGGGCCACCCTGTGTCTGCACAGCCCAGGCTCCCCAGGCATCCTTGTGCCTCCTGGTCTCACTCCTCTCCCCTTTCCTCAGGCTTTCCAGGTATCCTTGCGAAGCACTCAGGGCCCCATCGATGTCTTCCTCTGCCCCGAGGACAGCTCAGGTGTCTGCAGCCCTGTCAAGAGCCCCTTTAAAGCCCCTGCAGAGGAGTCAGCTCCCAGCCACCCGCAGCCCAGAGCCTCCCCTCTCCTGCATCCTGCCCAGGACATGCACTTGCCGCTGCTGCCCGGAGAGCAAGGTGGGTGCCCGGGCCAGGGACAGGAGGGAGCTGGGGACAGGGATGCTGCTGGCTCTGGTTGTGGCCTCTTCTGTGTTTGTAGTCGTGAGCCCCTCTGCCGGCAGCACAAGCTGGGGTGATGCTCAGCCACCTGAGCACAGCAGGGATGTGGGAAGGCAGGTTCTGCATAGCCAAAAGTGCCTCTTTTGGCGTTTTTTGTCTGTTGTGGGATTGATGGCTGCTTCCCATCCCTGCAGAAACGCTGCTGCCAGGGACCAGCAAGTGCCCTGCGGAGGGGCCGAGCCTCTCGCCATTGGCCTCCATGGACGTGCTGCTGGACCAGAGCAGGGAGGTCTTCCCGGAATTCCTGGCGGACGAGTTCATCAACCAGGAGCAGGACTATCACTTCGGGCTGCAGGAGGGAGAGGGCATCAGCGAGCTCTTTGACTGTGACTTTGAGGACTTCACACCCTTGGACTTCTGAGGGGAGCTGCAGGGTGCAGGGGGGATCACCCTGAGCTCCCCCCGCCCCACAGCTCCTCTCCCCATCCCTTTTTGCAACACTTTCTTCTTCGCCCTCCAGCCCCCCCAGCCCGGCGGGGGCCGGCAGCATCCCTGGCTCCTGCCCTGCAAGGAGGATGCCAGAGCGGGGGTACCATCTCAGAGGACCCCCCCACAAGGTTCTTGGTGATGGGGGTGCCCCCTCCGGTGCCCGTTATCGAGCTTTAAGCAGTCCTGTGTATAGATTTGTTTAATTTATTATTGTCCCCTAGGGACAGCATTTAATTTCCTGAGGGGGGGGGCCTGCAGCAGAGTGGGGGTGCCGGGAGGTGTTGTGTTGGGAAGTGGGTGGTGCAGATGTGGGGTGCTGGGTTGGGGCTGTGTGCCCCCTGCACGGGGGGGCTCCCACAGCCTGGCTGAGTGTGGGGTATTTATTTATTATTTATGGCATGTGGGAGCATTCCCAGGACATGGGAGGGGACAGGAAGGAGCAGGGGGATGCTGCTGGTTGGGGGGGGGAGATATGGAGGGTCCCACTGGGGCTTCACCTGCACGTCCTGGCTTTGCTTGCAGCCAGATTGGGGCAGAGGCTGAGGCCATTGTGGGGGCCTATGGGAGCAGGGGCAGGGCTGGATGGGGCTGATGGCCCCAGGACCATGTGTGGGTCCTGGAGGGGAGGGTGCGTATCTGCATGTGAGGACCCAACACTGGCTTCAGGCTTTTCCTCCCCTCCCCAAACAGCCGTGCAGCCACTGGGCTCTGTCTCCCCATCTGCTGCCCACTGGGGCTGGGAGAGGTGGAGGGAGGAGAGGAGGGTCCTGGGCCCCCCCCGGGGGCCGGGCTGGAGACGCACTTTCACTTTCACTGCCTTTTAACAAGCTTGTGTTCCTCTGAGCTTCCTGTGTAATAAAGGTTTCTACTGACTCTGGCCTTGGTGTGGGGCTGCGCTCAGGGGGCCCTGGGGTGGTGCGGCCCCAGCCCCAGAAACCAGCGGGGTTGGGGCTACCTTGGGGGTTGGTTTCCATCCTGGACTGGAAACGTGAGCATGTGTGTCCCTGCCTGGGCTCGCAGGGGGTTCTTTGGTCATCGCAGTGCTTCACCCCCTCCCCTGCAGCTCCACGTGCTGCCATCTGTGGGATGGGAGCTGCGGCTGATCCTGCCCCACTGCTCCTCCACAGAGGCTGTGCCACAGGGGGACAGGGCCACGGCTCCACATGGTCCCTTCCCTGCCTTCCCCCTGGTTTGGGGACAGCATTTGAGCAGGGTGCCCATGACCACAGCTCCTCCCGCAGTGCAGGAGGTGGACAGCAGCATGGGGCTGATGTGAAACCAGGACATGGATCTACTGCACCACTGCCCTCTGTGACTTCCCAGCTGCCCTGTTTGCCCCACCACCCATTCCTGCCTGAAGGACCAAGTTCACTGCTCAAGGTTCAAGGTCCCTGTGTCCCTGCTCACTGGGGTCAAGCAAGCCCAGTACCAGGCATGGATGTGCCACTTCCTTCCCCTGTTTGTGCACTTGCTCCCTCCTCATTACCCCTGTTTCTCCTTAAAACAGCCTGAGAAATGTTTAACCCCAGACCATGCTGTAAGCTCATCCTGCTCCCAGCCCTCTTCCCTGCACCCCTTGGGACTGAGAGCACGCTGTGCCATGCCATGCTGTCCCCAAACCCAGCAGCCAGGAGGGCAATGGCACACGCAGTCTGTCTGTCCCCTGTGTTTGAGTGGGGTGAGCCAGCATAGTGGTGTCGTGGTGTCATCCCACCACCATTCAACTGGAAGGCTCTCCTGCTGCTCTGGTCCATGGGGCTCCTGCCACACAGAGCCAGGGCAGGAGGATGGGGAGCCCCGGGTGTGTGGGCATCAGTCCCCTGTGTGCTGCACCCTCAGGTTGGTGTTTGTTACCCAAGGCGATTGAGGTGCTGAAGCTTTGATGCAGGGTACCCAGCCCAGCCATATACCAGCTCATCCTCATCCCTGCGCTCAGCGGCATCCAGGTCTCCTCCTGCTCTCCCTGTTCCAGTTTCATTTTGGTGGGGGGTGATGGTGATCTGCAATGCTGCCCCAAGGGGTGACACCCCAAGAGGGGGAAGTGGCCACTGGCTTTCACAGTGGGCACAGGGAGAGGACTCACACTGACATCCTGAGCTCTGCTGCCCTGCATCCATGAGCTAACCCCCATAGCAGCACAGCTTTTCCCCTGAGCAAAGGTGAACCTCTGGTAGCATTCACCATCACATTCCATTAATAGGGAATCTCATAGGATGATGAGCCCTTGGGACTCCCAGTCCCCATGAAAGCAGCCCCTCTACTGGGGGCAGCACCACGTCCCCTGCTGCGGCAGTTCACCCATCTCTAGGGATGCATTGGCAGCTCCACATGAGCCAGAGCACCACAAAAATAACCACTGTGCCTCCCAGGGATGATTCACGATGCAGCTGAAGGGCTTCCCTCCTGCTATGTTGAATTGTTGGAGAAAGAGCTGATAATAGCTTGTGTAGGGGCTCTTGTTTCCAAAGGGCACATGCCAGATTGGGAAGTGCTGCCTGCCTTTATGTCCTATCATCCCCACCATGGCTACAGGCATGGTTTAGGACATGGGCACACATACATCCTGTGTGCCCCACAGTCCTCAGCCCCTGTTTGCTCCCCTCTCCCATGCCCTGGCAGTAACCCTGCAGGGACAGTGCCTGTCCAGCTCTGGATGTGGTGCTCAGCCCAGGCACTCGTGGAGTCTCCTATCCCTACACTGTGAGGTTTGGCCTCCGAGGAGTCAGGAGAGCCCAGCAGTGGGATGAGCTCTGGGACATCCTGGCCATGGCTGGGGAGCACCATTAGATGCTGGCACAGCATAAAGTTTACTCTAATTTATACCTTTAATTCTAATCCTCCTTGGAGGCTCTGGGCAGGTTTTGGGGGTTCTATTGGCCCCTATGGTACATCTTCTGTGGGTGCCATGCCCATGCCAGCACAGCCCACCCCACACGTTCAAATATTTCAACTTCCAAAACCCACTTGTGTTTCCTCTGCAAGGAAATATCTCAAGGAGGTGAAGCACAGCATCGTTTATCCAGATTATTGAGATAGCTGGGCTGGGGCAGCCTGGAGAAGAGAAGGCTCCTTAAGAGGAAGCCTTAGAGCAGCTCCAGTGCCTAAAGGGGCTGCAGGAAACCTGGAGAGGGGCTTGGGACAAGGGCCTGTAGGGACAGGCCAAGGGGAATGGCTTGAACCTGCCCGAGGGGAGACTGAGCTGAGCTCTTAGGCAGAAGCTCTTCCCTGTGAGGGTGCTGAGGCGCTGGCACAGGGTGCCCAGAGAAGCTGTGGCTGCCCCATCCCTGGCAGTGTTCAAGGCCAGGTTGGACACAGGGGCTTGGAGCAAGCTGCTCCAGTGGAAGGGGTCCCTGCCCGTGGCAGGGTTTGGAGCTGGATGAGCTTCAAGGCCCTTTGCAACACAAATCAGGCTGGGATTCAATGATTCTGTGATTCACAAGATGCTGGTAAGTGGCTGCTTCTTTTAATTCCTGCCCTATCCCCTACCTGGGAAGCAGAGCAGAGCCCTGGCTTCCTCACCACAGCCAAGGCCAAGTCCCCCCCTTACTGCCAGTGGCTTTGGGGCACGTGTTGGAAGCAGCTGTGGCAGAAGCTGGGGGCAACCGCTGCCTCCTGCCGCCAGCAGAAGTTTTGCCCTGGCCTTCGCCCTCATTTCCAGCTGCTCCTTCCCATGCTGAAAGCCACATTGACCCGGGGACTGAACGTGGGTTTTAGCAACACAGGAGAATGAACAGGCCCTCCCAGGGCTTTGCTTTGATCCATGACAGAGCTCTGCTATCATCCAAACCCCTTCCAGCGCTCCCTGGGAAGGTGAACCTCTGTCCCCGCTGCCATCAGGGGATTTATCCCCTCTCTCTAGCAGCTGCCCCCATTTTAGTTCGATTCAATGTGATTTGGGGATGGCCATGCCCCACAGCTCCAGCCCTCGGTGGGGACAGCACTGAGCCCTGTGCGTGCACGTGCTCCCCGGAGTCCTCGGGTACCCCCACCAGGCCCCAGGTGCACTTTTTCCGCCTCTTTTCCCTTGCACCCACCCGGAGCAGCCGGGAGATGGTAAAAATAACTGTGATGCATCACTGCAACTACTGCGGGCTCAGCTTGCAGCCGCTTGTCCCCGGGGGAGGAGGAGACCGAGGGAGCTCCACGTGCTGCAGCTCGGTCACGATGGGCTGGGGAAACATCGTGGGTTTGAGACCTGGGGTAAGAGAAGCCGAGCTCAGCAAAATGGGATGGGGCAGGATGAAGCCCACCTCTGCCAGAGGTCACCGCACCACAGGGACACCAGGAATGGTGGGAAGCTCTCCCAGGCACGGCCTTGTCTACTTTATTTATGCAATTAACTGTTTGTCGGATGGGAAAGCAAAGTTGAGTTTGTTCACTGCTTGTGGATGCAAATTGAGCTGGGCTGGGTCAGCCTGGAGAAGAGAAGGCTCCTGAAGGGGAGACCTGAGAGCAGCTCCAGTGCCTAAAGGGGCTGCAGGAAAGCTGGAGAGGGGCTTGGGACAAGGGGCTGTAGGGACAGGCCAAGGGGAATGGCTTGAACCTGCCAGAGGGGAGACTGAGCTGAGCTCTTAGGCAGAAGCTCTTCCCTGTGAGGGTGCTGAGGCGCTGGCACAGGGTGCCCAGAGAAGCTGTGGCTGCCCCATCCCTGGCAGTGCTCAAGGCCAGGTTGGACACAGGGGCTTGGAGCAAGCTGCTCCAGTGGAAGGGGTCCCTGCCCGTGGCAGGGGTTGGAACTGGATGAGCTTTAAGGTCCCTTCCAACCCAAACCAGGCTGGGATTCTGTGCAGACCTCAGAGGACAGGCTGAGGTACGGACACGAGCGTCCGTCCATCCCATTCCTTTCCACATACACAGGCCGCTGGATGCCTTTGTTGGGCAGGGATGGAGGCAGCTCCTGCCTCCTCCTTCTCCTCATCCCCTGCCTCTCCTGCAGGCCCTGATTGGGGTGCAAAGGGGGTTTTACATCTGCTCGAGGTACTGGTGCCCCAATGCCATTGTAGAGCCCTCACACAGGAGCTGGCCCCACCGTGAGGTAAAGTCGCCTGCAACCACTCTGGGGGGTGCTGGGAGTACCCCAAGGCCTGCTGCAGCCACACCAGGCCCACCCATGGCCACACTGGGACCAACGGAGCTATCCCAGGGCCAACAGTGACCACACTGGAACAAGCCGTGGCCAAACTGGGACAGACTGGGGCAGCCAGGGATGGTGACACCACAGTGTGACCACCGAGGGGATCACCGGAGCCACCATGGGCTGCACTGGAGCGATCTGGTGCGCCGTGGGGGGCACTGGATCCAACCAGACCCAGCTCTGGGGAGCCCCACGGCCGGCTGAGCCCCCCGCCGCACTGAGAGCCGCCGTACCACCTCCCGCTCCCCTCACAGCGGCGCCCCGCCCCTCGCCCCTCCGCCAACCACAGCACGGCCCTGAGATGCCAATCATCGGCAGCTGCCAATCGGATGGCCGCGGGGGCGGGCCCTCAGCGGAGGCAAAGAGTCCTGGCGGCTGCGGTACCACTCTGTGAGTGCAGATCAGCCGGCAGCTACGGCACCGCACCGCACCCTGCGGCATCGTCCGTCGGGGCACCGCACCGCACCGCACCGCACCGCACCCTACGGCATCGTCCGTCGGGGCACCGCACCGCACCCTGCGGCATCGTCCGTCGGGGCACCGCTCCGCTCCCTGCGGCACCGTATTCCGCCATACGGCATCGCACCCCGGGGCCCCGCAGCGCCCGCGTCCGGCGGGGCCATGATGGCGTGTGCCGAGCTCCTGGCTGTGTGCCTGCTGTCTGCCAACCGCGGCCCCGCGCCCCGCCGACAGCCGCTCCCCATCTTCCACGACGTGAGTACCGGCGGGGCGGGCCCGCGGCG